TTTTTTTTTTTTTTGGTTTTGTAATATCAGAAAAGCGTTATTAGATTCTGGTATGGATCTTAGTTTTACTTCACCAAATCTAAAATGGGCTTTAGGCTTATAATGTCCTTTCTAATCATACCATAAGGTCAATAATGTAATTCGGAAAGTATATAAATTTCTGGAACTTAAGCAGAAAACAATAAATCAAATTTTGTGGAAACCGATACCTTTAGTCACGTAAAAGCATTTTCTTTTACTGCTTCTTCTGRAGGTAAAAATATGGGAAACCAAAAAAATGTTTTAGCTAATTCCCCATATTGGAATTTGTATTATTGTAGTACCTATTAAGCTAGGTACCTACTCAAGTAATAATTGATTATTTATTTGAATGTCCTGAAACCAATTCTGAGTCAAGTGTACAAGTTATAATTTTATAATCGGAATATCTAAATATGTATTATAGCATTGCAGTGAATAGATGTAGTCAAAATCTACATGGAAGTATTAAACTTTTTAATATTTAGTATTTTACTAAATATATTATGAAGTAGGTATACACGCAGAGATTTTGAACTTTCGTCCACATAGTATTAAACGTTAACACTTAATTTTGATAAATATAAATTGTATACAATTGGTTAGAACATTTTGTACATAATCAAATGGACTGTATCCAAAATCATTTAAGCATATACATTTAATAATATACCTATTGTGTTTTGTGTATATTAACTATATAAATTATTCTTAAAGAATGGATACTGTAATAATATTTAATGTCACAAAGTTACGTAMAAATATGAATTCACAAGAAGTTCTATTTGAACAATATAAAAGTGCCTGAAATAAAATAACTAGATACCCTTAAATTATTTATTAATTAATTTAATTAATTGATGCCAGTCGGCATTTACATATTGGTGATATAACAGTCAATGAAGAAAAATTTTATTGATTTGATAGACTTGGATACTCRAGATGACCACAAATTACATTTATATCATTTTCTCGTGAACGTATATCACTTGTAATTCGTATCAAAATAGTATTACTTATTAGTTATTATTTTATTAATTATTATTATTGTTTAATATAATTCCATTGTTATTAAAATGTTTATTAGAAACATTTTAGRTAGGCATTTCAGTATATTATGTTATTATATTAGACGTTATAGGTAGGTACTGTTACTGTTGTTATTTTGGATTTAAATTTAAACAGTGCCTATCTACCAAAATATTATTTAGATATAGGATAATATTAAATTTTGAGAATTGTGTTACAGTAATTATAATGTTTGTAATATTTGTATAATATCCAGAAACATGCTTTCAACAATAGTACAGAATCATTATTTAAAATAAATGTATTGTTTTGTTATCCATTAATGATCTTATTCTAATAACTTTTTTTTGTATTTTTACTGATTTGTAGTTATGTGTTTTGTTGTCTGTCACATTGCTGTTACAAGTGACAGTGACTGTAGTTTCTGGTCAAGAAGAGGATGTGACTAAGGTAGATCTCGATAATGCAATTTTGGAAGTGTTTCCAACACCAACACCTTCACCACCACCATCGGATCGGTGTATATGTGTACCATATTATTTGTGCAGAAACAAGACGATTAATACAGATGGTGAAGGATTAATAGACATTAGGTATGTCTTATCACTCCAGTTTTATAGTTAGAGAGGATTAGAATGGCATAGAATATCTAACTATTAATATTATTATAAATCTAGAATGTATATAACTTAAATATTAAAATAAACTTGTATTTTTTACTATAAAATGAGTTTTAATCTCATGTAATTATTAATGTAGCCAACGGCTCCCAGTCGCCGAGGCGGTAATATTTATCATTAAAAAAAAAAAATTCTAACTATAGTATAATTTCATTCGATGAAAGGGACTGTAAACGGCCAAACTATTTGTAATCCGATAAATTTATCTCGATGATGAACAAAAGTTCAAACTTACTTTTGTAAAAAAAAAACATGCTATCACTCGAGCGTGACATTTTGACAGTGAGGCAGGTATCAAGTGGCTTGTAAATGTGTGGAAATTATGCGTTATGATTGTAGTGCACGCATACAAATACATATATTATAATATTATTATTACAGGAAAAATGAAATTTTAATGATGTTTAAATCATTGCAACTACGCGAATAGTACGCGAGTACCTACTCTTCAAACTAATTTGCCTATATTGAACTCCTTAAGAAGACTCCACGCCTGTATGTGTCGTCTCCATATTACAAATGTACATTGTACAATGTAGCAAAATCTATTTTTCACGGGATAGAACCACTCAGGCGCAGATTCAGGGGGGGGGGCTATGGGTGCTCGGGCACCCCCTGTCATATCTAGCCACCAACAAAATAAATTTACGTTATAAATTAAATTATTTGTTATTTTTAAAAATAAAARTAATAATAATAATATCGGTGCTTTTCGTTATCACCGTCACATACGACAATAATAACTATTATTGTTAATTGATTTCGAAGTATACTCGTATGTAATGACACGCCTCGACAGCGGAAAGCACCGATAACAATTATTATGAAAAAAAGTTAGCACTAATAAATCAAATGGTAAATAGTAATATTTAAATAAATAGTAAAGTGTAACATTTTTTTTTTTTTTTTGAGCACCCCCTGTTAAATTTTTCTGGATTCGTGCCTAGAACCACTCGAACTGTAGTCCAAGCTAAGTGACCAAATGTTCACACTTTAAAGAAGAGAACGTTTATCTACTTTGCAACATTGTTTTTATTTAAGATTTAATAATTCACTTAATCGTTTGAAATAATGAATTGTTAAACAATAAGAAAATTGTTGTTATTTGTGATATTGAATAAATTAAAACGATTTGCACGGTAAACGTTCTCCTCTTTATAGTATGATAATTTGATCACTTAGTTTGAACACTACAGTCTGAGTGGTTCTATCCTATAAAATAGTTTTTCCTATGTTGGACATTTGTAAGACGGAGACAACAATATGCTGGTGTCGTGTCCTATTAATATTCGGAATCGAATTCGACTCGCCATGTRTTGTCTCTGCCTTACTAACTCATAATATAATATCAAATTTTATGTTTTGAAGAATCTATTTTCTATGTCATTTTCGATTATGAGCAGAGTTTGTTGATTTTACATTGATATTAATCGATGTTTTTTAGGGCATTTGAAATTTTGAATACACTTTATAGAAAAAATGCTTGAATGTATTATTGGTACTCGAGAGGAATTCAAAAATTGTTTATTACGCAAAACTAGTTTTGAATTTTTTTAGTTTTTTTATTTTAAAGTAAGAGAATAATTTTGTTATTTTATTATGTTTAAAAAATATTATTCTTGTGGATTTTTGTATATATTAAAATATTATATATACCTACGCGATAACATTTAAAAAATATTTAGACTTATTTTGAGTTTTAGACTATTGCCTATTTATAACACTAACCTATCCACAACGGTCTATCTATGGTATAAATCGATATTTACGAAAACATCAAGAATTATAATAAATATTATTGTATTGATTTACAGTGACCTATTCAATGATGAGATACACTTGACATCTACTGTACAACAAAGCATTTCCGACCCTCTCGCTTATCAAATATCAATATTAAAGTGAATTAACGTATTAACAAATTTGCAGGTAAGAATATTATCTTGGTCCCCGCGTACGATTTTTTAAAATGTTTAATGATTTGATGATTTTTGAATGTTAAAGCAAGTTAATTATAAAAAAAAAAACTTACTTGGGGCACTAAATAATACTCTTATTTTTAAATTGTATAATAGGTCAATTCACTCGAATATTAAGAACAACATAGTAAAATAGATTCTTCTAAACGTGAAATTYTATATGTTATGCGCTAATTGATAAAATAGGGACAACACTTGCGTGTAAGAGAATTGGAAGAGCGCCTTTCTAATGAGTAGATAGGCAATTATTTTAACACGTGTGAAAAGTAAATTATTATTATTTATAAGAATGTCGCCTCACTCGCCTCATATTCGAATCTTATTGTGTATTTGTACGAAAATAATAGCTATGATAGAACATAGTTTATAATTTAAGTACACAATTGGTAAACAATTATCGTTCTATTGAATAACTAATTGAAATCAAYTTATACTAAAAGTATTAATGTAAAATGTATTAATAAATGTGCTTTAAAATTCTACACAATTTAGTACCTATACAATATTATAATAATTTCTTCAAAATGTAAATTTTGAATATATTAGAATTAAAATTTACTTTTAAATTAAATAATAATTTATAGATTTCTTGATATTAATTATATTAAATATATTTCGTCGTGATGTCAGCACGATAAAACATATAATTCCATAAGCTTCAAATTAATATATTATAAATATATTCATTCTATAGGCTCTGGGGGGGGATATATCCCCCTCATCCCCCCCTTAATTACGCCCCTGAAATGATATTTGATTTTAATTGTATAGAATCATTCATTGACCTATTTTTTAGATTATTGTCCTATTGTGTAATTCAAGTTTTGAATAACCTTTTCGTATAAAAAATAACTGAAGTAAATATTCAAAATATTTTAATGAATAAAAGTAGGAATGTTGAAATTTTAACACAATTGTAATATCAAAAATGTATTACCACTTTACCCAAATAATTAAGTAACCAAGAAAAAAGGCAATATATAAGTATATAATTAATTCAAATTTTTTAAGGTAGGCGTAATTCTGTCAGACTTACGATTTTAATGTCTAAATCATTAAATAAATACACTGCTTCTAACTAACTTGTTCCTTGAGGAAAATAGGTTACTGAATATGTCCATGTATTCACCGAGAGCATTTGACGTTTTGTTAGTGATAAATGACTATCCTTTCATTTAATCTACAGGCTTAAAGAAGGTCCGTGTCCTAACTACTTGGACGTGTGCTGCTACGATCCAATGAAATCATCAGAGACTACACATATATCTTACGATGAAAAGCGTACGATCTGTGGCCATTGGAACTCTGCTGGCGTAGGATTCAGGATAACTGGAAACTCCAATAATGAAGCACAATTCGGCGAGTTCCCCTGGATGATGGCAATTCTTAAATTAGAACCTAACCAATCCAAAACTTACTTGTGCGGTGGTTCATTGATTCACCCGAAAGTCGTGTTGACTGCAGTTCATTGCGTGCACGGGTAAAATTTTAACTTATTATTCTTATTGTTTAGTATTTAAAAAGTTTTACTGCAAACTTAATCGTATCTCACTATATTATAACTGATTTGTAACTTTGAAACGTAGGCAATACAAACYATAAAGTTGGTAAAGTTTATGTCGACATTTTATATTTTTAATACGTGCCTTTACAAAATAAATCTTTAACAAATGTTCCAAAAATTATATTTTATAGAGGGTTATCTTTTGGTTATTTTGACTTTAATTAAAATTAACTTATCATTCATTTAAAACTGATTATTTCARTGGTTCATTTTAAAATAAATATAACAATCGATAATATTAATATTAGACAACTTTCTTTGAAATAAAAATAGTACTGTTATTGCAATATTTAAATAGCAGTTATTGATCCTAAGTATTAAAATCATTCATGTCGTACAGACACTTACGATTGTATAAAAAGTATATAGTATAATTTCGTTCCCAAATAGGACAGTACAATTTATTTCTAAAAAACGACAGTTACGGAATTTAATAAAATATAAATATTTTATTGTAATATTTAAAAAAAAAGTGATTTATATCCACACTATCCGTGTATAATTTTATATATATCAGTTTATGCATACTATAAATTATATAGTAAAAGCTGATATTTATATATATAATGTTAAGGTATTATTAGTGATGATTAAATATGTTTTTTTTTCACAATAGCAAAGATCCGAACGATCTAGTTATTCGTGCTGGCGAATGGGATTCGCAGACGGAAAACGAACTGCTACCGTTACAAGACGGCCAGGTTTATAAAATAATCAAACATGAAAAATACTACGGTGGTGCGCTTTACAACGACGTGGCGCTTATCATTGTCACCCAACCGTTCTTACTCAGAGACAATGTGGGCACTCTATGTTTGCCCAGCAGGAATTACGTGTTCTCTAAAGAAAGATGTTATGCCAGTGGTTGGGGCAAAAACGTATTCGGTAAGCATGGTAATAATTATTAACCAACATAATAATACATCACCAATCACCAATGAATACAATATGTCGTGTTGTAATTTGAGAAATATTATTGCATTAAATGTATTACCCATATTACGTTTGATCATTCAGCATAATTATTTAGAGATACCGCGATATTTGCGAAAAATGTCTACTCAAATTTCTGAGGCAAAAACAGAACTCCCCGACATCGTCAACCTATGATATAGTTAAAATAAATTACCTTCTWTTCACGCAGGGCTCATGAGTCATGAGTAGTGAGCAAATTACATTTAATAGTAGTTTCATCTCATATATTTTTATTCTCCTTAATTTTTTTTTATATTTAATGTGTGGTTAGTTTAAAATAATAATAGGATGTGTTTTTAATTTTGCTGCAGTCACTCAAGTTAATATAGTTAATGTTTAGAGTTTAGATCGTGTTTTATAAAAACAACCTTAAATAGGWAGATTATAAATGGTAGTAATATTATAACTACCATATTTTTACCTTATTCGATTATTTCGGCTTAAAGATTTTAATTGATTAATGCAAAACTCAAATGTCGGTTTATTACCTATAATCTATTAATTTTTTTTTTTGACCGTATAGTAATGTTATAGTGTTAGGTATAACTGTTAAATAAACTTGATGAATGATGATTTATGTTTTGGAGTTTTGGACACATTTCAATGTTTATATTCAAAGAATTAATTTATCCTTATAGTTTTGAGCTTATTACGTGGATATTGCTTAAAGTAGCAGTTTGACTAGTAAATAAATCAACAAATAATTTRTTTTGTGAGAACTTATCTGTGGGAATTATTTTATCATTATGTTGGAACTTACCGCTCGAATAATTTGAAATACTTATATTTCAACGTTGACCTGCGTGTAAAATCTTGCCCAACCCCTTTAGTGAAYTCTACTGGCATTAGGTTAGGTATCTATTTCCAATAATGGTTTAAGGGTTTAACGGAGCAGCGGAATTATGGTAGGTATGTACATATATTTATTAGCAGTGGTTGATTTGGGAATAAAGTATAGTAGAGATACTCTAGCTGACTAGCTCCCCTTTAAAAAAGAAGCAGGAGTACACTAGGGTATCCTAAAAATTAGTTGAAGTACTCAGCCCCCCCCCCCACACACACACACACACACACACACAATAGGCCGCTGTTTATCAGGAAGAAATTTGAACACAACATGAACAATATACGATAAAAAAATTAAAAAACTAATACAATGATATTCTTATAAGGACAATTAATAATATTAGTCATTTATAGACATCTTTTTTTTTAATTTTAAAACCAACAATCCGTAATTTRAATTTGCAATAAATATGTGTGTAGATAAAATATATTCATTTGGCATGCAACATGTGAAAAAAGCCACTCAATAGGGACACTTTATAAAAGAWATTTCAAATTTGTTTAATTTATACAGTTTTTTAATTGTGGTTTAGATCACGACACCAAATTCTCTTTAGCCAGCGGTGAGGATTTCCATGAATGGAGTTGTAATTTTATAGTTTATTTATTTATTACATATCTAATATATATATATATATTTTTTTTAATGATATTATGAGTTTAAACATGCGTAATAAAATTTTTTTTTTTGCGCCCTCTCTCTTCCAATTTCTAAATACGCCCCTCTTTACACATTTCACGAAACGTTCAGCACYCTAATTAATGAATTGACACAAGTTATATATTATCGGATTATGTACGTATAATAAAATTTATATTTATGTTAATATATTTTTTTCTATTCATTGTGTAGGTAAATCCGGCGTGTATCAAGTAATTTTGAAAAAAATAGATTTGCCGATAGTGCCACGCAGAACGTGTTTGGAACTTTTAAGAAAGACCCGGTTGGGCATGAATTACAAATTGCACGAGAGTTTCATCTGTGCTGGTGGGGAAATTGGAAAAGATACTTGTCAAGTAAGTGTTTTTTTTTTATATATTGTTTATAATAGTGTTTCTCAACCTTTTTACCGTCGCGACCACCTTTTTCAATTTCAATTTTTTAGAGACCCCTTTTTAAATTTTTTTTATATAGGTACTGTACTCGCTTAAATAGAAGAAATACTATAAATAATAAATATAAATAAATAATAAATACAAATAATACATACCTACATTATTACAATTATTTTTTATAAAAAGAAAC